ATTTATAAATGAAAAAAGGCACACTCATGTTGAAATAGCTAAAAAGCAATAGCAATCATTTTATTTGAATTATAAATTTATATATAAAAAGGCATACGCATCGTGTAACAGCAGAAAAGGAAAGTACTTATTTTGCATAACTTAATCACGTATGAGCGAAGAACGCATTAAGACAAAATTTGCCACACCTAACTAACCTTATTGCTAGGCTGATATTTGGATAGATGAAAATGAAGGAAGGATTCCTTTCAGTGGAAACTAAATAGGTTTAATGTCGTCAGTGAGATGTGAAGTTTCAGTTTACGATTGAAGTTCGATATCCGTGATCTAATAAAAAATCTTGTCTATGGTGGCCACCGGAATATTGTCTTTTATTTTACAACCCAAACATCTCATATTCTATAGCTTACAATTGCAAATCACAGATGCGCATTCAGAGTTCGATAGCTAGCAGAGAAACAGTATTCGTAGGTGCAGAAACGAGTGAAACCTCACTACTCTAAGAGCTTCAATTCAGTACGTGTATCCGGCACTTGCCTTACATCAGAAGAAAACATCCGGCAAAATTCTCCTCAAATGAAAACAACAGCTAGCAAGATCAGCAGAAATTACTTCGACAGTTACTAGATAGTACACTGAGAAGACAACCAACTATTTTCAACTTATGCATCATGCAAAAATTGACCTAACTGTCACAGATTATCTATGGAACATTTTAGTGGCTCTGGTACAGTATTAATACAAGAAACATGTCTGTGCATTATCAGCCCTGTCAAAGGGCACACGCATACCTTTCTTTAAGCCTCGGCACGTGGTGGACCGAAGGATCATCCGAAGAGCGCCGGGAGGCCGCTTCTGTGCCAACACAGATTAGAGACTTTCCTATTGATACTATCAGAGGACGTACACAAATTATTTCTTTTGCTTTTTTGCTATTTCAACATGGGTGTGCCTTTGCATTTATAAATTTATAATTTATACAAAATTATTTTTTTTTGTTGCTTAAACGGGTGTATCGTTGGATAAAGTTTTGCTTTTGCTTTTTGCCTGTCAGAACATGGAAGCCGTTTTTTTCATTTATATTCAAACTCGAATTAGACAGCTACTCGTTTTTTATAATAATAATAATAAAAAACAATCTATTGACATATCCCAGTTTAAGACTCTGCCCCATCTGTGTATAGATTTCCTCAGAACATAGATATAACCATATGAAAGAAGTAGGAGAAATACACTTTCAATACCAGTTCTATTGAAAAACTGTTAGAATATCTAGCCAATTTTTATCTATTTCTTCTATCGTTTCAAAAGACAGTGTTGTCTCTCTTTGAACATACATGGCTTTTATTATGCTTTTGAAAACTGCCGAGATACGAAGATTTGACATAGGAAGCACTTCTTAGTGGAATCACAATGGTATCTTTATAACAAATACGTAAGACTTCAAGGCGCGAATCACTTCGATCGTTTAGAGTTGTGAAGAGTATTGTTGAGGTGTTGCTAATCTGCTTGTTTTCGCAATTTTTCAAGGCATTCTAATAGTTATCTATGCACAACAAATAGCTCTAATGTCTCTTCGAATCATAGAGCACCGGTTCAAATCACCAAGGTTTTTTTAATAACTATCGAATAATCAGAACAGATTTCAGTAGCATATTAATTGCTATCTTTTTCATTAAATTCATGAATAGCCGCAAACGATCTGTGTTAACGAGAAAAAAGTCACTAACTTCATTACTATTTTCATAATATTGGCAAAATTTGCCAATATTCACTTTCATTTTCTTCTTTTCTTACGTTTAGACACAATCTAAAGCTCACATAAACTATACTTAATTACTAGTATCATTTAAGGATAGAAAAATCTTCTGAACACTGATAGACTAAAAGGGCTTACGAGAGATACTGCAATATCAAAAGACTTACGTATGTTTGTTGTATTAATGCGATGTATACTGTAAAGACAAATGTAATACGTTGATAATGTGATGTATCGACGTTGTTTAATAAAGAAAATGAAAGCATAATTTTGCTTATGTATACATCGAAAATACTTTTGGCTTGCGTGCATCCAACCATATACGTTGGATAAAGCATGATCATATATTATTGAGACACACTGGGTTTTTCTCACAAAAATTTTATCATACTTTTGCTTGTTCTATCACTTATCGATCAGACAGCTTGAATAATGAAGAAAGAGAGAGAGAACGAGTTAATCGATGGTTGGAAAAATGTGCATTATATCACGATTTTATTTTTATTTTTCTACCTATCTTTGCATAGGATAGGTAAAATATACAGGCTTTACAAGCAATAGTATGCAGCTTTATATCATTGATCACGTTAAAACTGAGTTCAATGGTCCCTTCTGCCTATGACAGAAGATATTGGTTTCTATTGCCACTTTTCGAAGCATTTCTTGTCTATACACATATTCCTCATCAAAAATCGACATTTGGATGAAGTCTTGTCCTTAGGATCGTTTCTGATCCTCACAGAAACTGGGAAGTCACTTTCAACAGCTGCCTTGGCTAACATCGTCGTGTGTATCCTTGCTTTGATTCAGATTCCTTTTCCAGTCGTTATATTCGTTTAAGCCGCAGTTCCACTCATCATTCTGCTACCTATCTCGGTGGGAAGTCAACTTCAACCTTGATATCAAGATCTGTCAGACTGGTTCTGTTTAGTAGTGGTTCTATCAAGCCAAACTTCTCGTTCAGCTATTACTCATGGTTCTGTACCATCCCAAAGTTTTTCATGGAGCAATACTCATTTTTATAACAGTTGTGTTCGATTTTTGTCCTCAGTTGGCATCTTAGCAGTAGAGTGTACTCTCAGTTTGATCATATTCTTTATTAGAATGGCAGCTTCGAACTTAACTACAATACTCATTGCAGACGTGCCTTGGTACCACCGCTTTCGGCAGGCTTTGCTAACTGCATCCAATAGTTCTTCAAGTTTCTGTAAGAATCGTTTCACACGCTTGCGATTCTTTTTTAGCACGAATTCTATCTTACAAATGAACGTTCACAACTGATAAGCACCGCTCGCGCCCGTACTTTGTTGACGGTTGTAGTGCCACTTTTTCTGTTTTATTTATGTTTTTTTGTCATACGTTAACTAGGACATGTATTTTTCTACTGAAAATTTGATCACTAACTTATCTTTTCTGGATCATTGACCATTAAATTTTTAGTCAAATCTGGCTTTGTGCCCGATAAAGAGACAATATTTTATTTCCAATTTTTTTATAGACACTTTTATTGTTTTCAACGTCAAGCCCAATGAAGATTGCTATGGTCTTCTTTAATTTCCTGAAGAGGAAAAGAACTATTAAAATGAAAAAACAGTTATAGTATTTTTCTTTTTAAAAATAATTGGAAAAGTATACAAAGACAACAAGTGAAGTAAGCTTGTCAGCGCAGCTCCTTTGGAGCTGAAATGTAGAACTCACGTATGTGCTTCCGAGTTGTTTTCTTAATGCATTATCTGTACACTCAAAAATAGTTTTTTTACGAATAATTATGAATGCATTAGAAAATTGTATAGAATCTGAAGCGTTTTGTGTGCGGTTGGTGAGGTCTGTAATGGTGGTCTGTCTGTAACGAGGGATGTTTGTAATAGGAGTATGTCTGTAGTATTCTCTTCCCCGTTATTATGTGTTTGTAATAGGATGGGAAGAGGAGGAGCCGGAAAACGTTGACCTTAAAACTTACACTCAGTATTTTCTTCGAAAATTTACGTGAGTTCCACAATAAAATAAACGCTCTACGGAAGGTATTGAGTAATGTGTTATATGAATGATATTTTTAAAAATAAGTGCATGAAATAAAGCTTCAACATCCAAATAAAAAATTTTAAAAGGTAGTAGGATACAACAAGAGGGTTTTGTTCCATGAGGCGTAAAGAATAATACTTTTTATGACGACAATGCGTAACATGTTGTTTGTTTCTGATAAAAGAATAATTAGCAAAACTTCGGTTTTGTCTCGTTTGCAAGCAAAAGCAGATTCAACTCAGAATTCATGGATGAATAGCCATATACAGGATAATTTAGTCATTAAGTTTTAAAAGGTAGATAAGTATTTCTCTTATCCAAGGTAACGGTCATTGGTCGTTATACGTCGCTTGTATGACATCTTCTTGAACTTCTGACCTTCTTTTTTTTGTTTTCTCATGTGTGACTATTTCTAGATTAGTTGAATTTAATGAAGAGAAGACACAGTTTTGATTGTACAAGACGACATTATGCTAAAAAAGACATCGATACTCAATTCTACAGTTCACCACACACAGTAGGATTTTAAGATATTAATGTAAAAATAATGCAACTAGTTATAAAGTCTTGTTAGCAATTTATTTCACGTTATCGATCGTATTTGTCGTGAGGTATTTTTATGATTTATTTATAAATCTGTGGAAAAAAAGGCGCTGGAGACGAAGCAGAATCTGGTGTTGAATTACTTCCAAAGAGCATGAATCGGTGAGAAATGAATATAATAAGTTTATTTAATTAAAAAACTAAGTGCGCTCGGTTTTCTTAATCAAAATGAAAACTTGAATTTATTTTCATATGTAACAAAATAATTTCTTCATTTCGCGCCTAACTACAAATCAATTTTACCTAGGACGTACTTTTAGATATGATACATTTAGGAATAAATTTAATTGAAATAGGTAGAGTTACCCAATATCAAAGATTATTTGTTATTAAACAAATTGCATCAAATATCATATCAATTAATGACTTCTGTACATAGATTTATTCAAAAATACTTTTTCAAAAGTAAAATCATTAAATATCTTTTCTTCATAATTCAACAGATTAATAACAAAATTCAATGATGTTGTACAACTCTTTTCTCATCTTCAAGAAATTTTATTTCATAAGTTTGAACGATAAATAAACACACAAATAAAAAATGAATCTTTATATAATAGAAAGACTTTAATATCGCAGAAAGCAAAAAAAAGAAAAAGAAATTCATCCATTTAATTTATTGAATAATAACATATGTTGCTGCTGTTGCTACACCACAATTATTATTTCTACGAGACATCAATACATAACCATCATTACCCCAATAAGTTGACCAAGAATTTTTAACAAGCCAATAATCATCACCATTTAATGTACCATAACCAACAGCAAGTACTGCATGATCTAAAGCATCAGGTGTATTACCTAAAAGAAATACAAAAAAGTTCATATTCAAGATACACTAAGAAAAAAAAAACAATTTACCACAATCGGGATCATAAAAGACTAAAATAAAAATAAAAATGAAATTCAACAAAAAATATTCAAATCAATAAATCTTACCTCCACTAGCATAAAATAGAAAACCTTTATGAGCAGCATCAATACCTAAAAACAAAATAAAATCATTAATAATAACTAAAAACAAAAAAAATTCTAATAATAAATTCATACCAACAGATACTGGTCCTCTTGTTGCAATAGCAATTCTTAGAGCTTCTTCATCACCTTCAGTTATATTAACATATCCAAGAATTTTTGCACCTTTTGTTATATTATCATGATGACAAAAACTATCTTCTTGTAAATATGGACCATAAGCATCTTCTAAAGCAATACCATCATGTTTCATAATATATTGATATGCACGAAATTCTTCTCCACCATCACAACCATTATTACCAAAACCCCATGAACAATCAACTAAATCTATTTAATAGAAAAATAAAAATATATTTATCTTTTGAATTTATTCAAACCTTGTTCAGATAAACGAATAGATGTTCCATACTAATAACAAAAAAACAAAATCAGTATGTGATATATGGATAAAATTCATTAAATTACTTTAACAAAATAAGAACCTTCAATAGTACCTGTTGTACCAAATGACCAACATGAACCACAAATACCTTGATCTTTAACTGGTGTTACAGCTCCCATAATACGCCAATCAATTGAATCAGGTATAGGTTGATTACTATTAATTAATTCTTGTTTTGGAAATGGCAATCCACCATTATAACCTTTTGTATAACGACGACCACGAAGTACACGTAATTCATCATCCTAATTTAAAACAAAATTTAAATTTTTTTTTATTTTTTAATTTTATAATTTACTGTTCGATCAGCAAATTTATTTATTTTCATTTTATATGGTAATGATGCACGATTACGTGTATTTATATAACGAACATTTTGTCGAAAGATTTTCATACGTTGACGATGTTCATGTTCATTTTCATATTTATGTCGATGAGTATGTTTAAATTTTTCAAATGATGATTCAATATAATCTTCATTATGTTGATTAATATATTCACTCATTGGATTAAATAAAACACGTGGAGTTGTATGTTCAAGACCAGGACCAGGAAATCCGGTGCATGTCATTTCTTATAAGAACAAAAAGAATCAATAATAGACAATGTTACATTTATTTAATGAAGAATAAAACAAAAAAAAATCAAATTATGATGGGACTTAGTTTTTTTTTTTGAAAATAGAAAGAAAGAAACACAATCAATGATTTAACAATCAGTATTTTATATAGATTTTCTCTTTCAGAAAGTGAACATAGTGTACAGTACATTCCAAGAGAGTCAATCCGATCTTCGAAGGAGCACCGTCCTGTCGTAAATCTACAAGAGGATTTTAATGTTCTTCAAAAGATCGTGTCTTCGCTTCTTCTGCCCTTTCAGGCTTTAAACATTCTACAATAAGAGGAAAAACTTAATGGGACACGGATTTTTCACAACGTAGGGTCAGATTGCCAATCATGAAGGCGATGCGTGTGTGGTGTTTTGGTTTCAATTCTCATTCTGTTTTCATCACTGACATCATAAATTTCCGTGAAATTAGACGTCTGAAAAAAAAAGTATTTGTGTAGTTAAAAGGATTCTCTATTAGGATTAGTAAATAAAAACTGTTTGGATGATGATCTGCGGAAAATCAGATTTCCAGCTTCGATTCGAAGGTTTTAGGAAAAGATTTTTTTTTTAATAGAGTAAAATGAGATGTTTCTTCATCGAACTATATTCAATTTATAGAAGACTTGAAAATATCAAACATGACAAATATTTAATAACAAAGAAGAGAAAAATATTTCTTAAATCTTCTGTAAATTGACTACAGTTCGGTGAAGAAACATTTGATCTATGAAAATTTGATTATTAATCACACATAAGTTTATTGTTGTTTTTTTTTTACCGTCTGTTATATGAAATATAGCTGGATCAATTGTTTCTTCGTCATAATTATAATAATCAATTGTATATTTATCAAAATGTGAACCAATTAATGTATCATAACCAAACATTTCATAATGAACTGGATGTTTAGTATCAGCATTAATATAATAAGTATATGTTGATTTTTTATCACCTTCTTGATCAATAGCTTGATACATTTGACATTTTATTCCACGCCATTCAGCTGGACCTAAATCCTAAAAAAAGAAAAGAAAAGATTTTTCTACTAAAACAAAAATTTAAATTAATTACTTGAAATGATGATAGATCAGGAAGTGTATGTTGTACATCAACCATATCTTCTTTTGAACCATTAGCTTGAAAACAACTAATCTTATTTAAAACTTGTTCATCTTAAAAAAATAATAAATTCAAATATGAAATAAATCATTTTGTGAACTTTTTTGATTTTTGTTTACCAGACATAGGTACAATTTTATAATTAGCACCGAAATCTTGATCACTTTGACCTTTTCGTTGAATAGTTTTAGCTGCACCTACAATTTTGATTTCATTTTGATTTTTTTTATAAAAATTAAAGATAAAACTAACCTCCATAATAATCAATACGTGAAAAACCAGCATCAACATCAATCCATGATTCAAATGGTTCACTAATTTCTGCATAAGGTAATTGAATAACACCACTTACATGATATCTTGATGGAAGACCGTCACGTAAAATTGGACTTGCATTTATTGATATAAATACAACAAATACTAAAATAAATTTATTATTCATATTAACATAATTAATAATAAAAACCTTACATGTCGTAATTAAAATAGATAATTGATACATATTTTAATCTAGAAACAGCAACAAAAAAAAAAAATGAAATGTATACCAAAAAGATTCTGAATTTCTTTTTCTCTACTGGCTTTTTTTCTTCTATTTCATGGTCTTTTTATCTGTCATATTTGTTATCTTTAGTCTCATAACCTAGATAAATAACATCATCGTCATCATGATAATATATGATGATGATGGTTGAAGATTTTTTTTTTTTTTTTCTTAAGTAACTATCAAACATTGTTATCATTTAAGCAACAGTTATTTTGATAATAAATGTTATACAAAGATTTTTAGTTTGAATTTTTATCAAAGTATTATTATATATATTCGAAGACTTTAGTTCATTGCATCGTTAATTTTTGGCAGATTTTGCAAAAACAAAAAAAAAACATGCCCGATGGAAAGAGATAAAAAGAAAGCGGGATGATTTATAGATAATTTCTAGAAGGAAATATTTTGAGTATATGATAAGTTTTGTTATATTTATTGAGATCTATCTATTTTGAAATATTTCTGGAAAAACGGTCAATTAGATAAACTATCACAAGATCTTCATTGTATTTTTCTTTCAATTGAAAATCATCTAAATTAAATCTTTTAGATTAATAAGTCAAAAATTGAATCGATGATAATAATACCGTTTGTCAAGCTATCCTAGGATCCTGGAAGACAGTCTCAAGTTTCGAAAAATTCCATTTATCTTGCAGGAGTCTACGTTATTCTGCTGTGTACCAAAATTATTCAACAAGATTTATTTTCAATTTTTTTTCTGCTAGAAAGATTTTAAATAGGGAGAATTCTTTTCAATAGAAATGTAAGAAAATAGAAATTATTATCAGATTGACCTTAGAACGCTTTAAAAAGAAATAATTTTTATACAACAATTCAATTGAAGGTCAAAAAGTAACTTTTCTATAGAAAATCGAAAAAGAAAAATGACACACAGGACTCGAATACATTTCATTCTGTAGAGAATCATTTGTTTTATCATTTAAATCAAATTATATATAAGTATTTTAGACTAATCTGATAATAATTTTTATTTTCTTATATTCTTACTGAAAACAATTGTCTCTATTTAGATTCTTTTGTGTAGCACTTACGAGACAATAGAATAAAATTGAAAATAAACTTTGTTGAATAACTCTTTGATGTATCCCGTCAATTACATCAATTAATGTAGAGAATGTTGTTCTTCTGTAATTGTATCTAATCTTTCGTTTGATTTTTTGCAAATGCACTCAAGGTAAATAAATATTTTTGCTTCGAAAAGCAGATAATAGACAGGCTTGTAGATAGGTATGATCATATGTTATTTCATTTCTATTACTAATAAAACCAATCATAGAAAACTGAATGTATCAAGTCTTGTTTACTGTACAGACTAACGACATCTATATTATAAATTCATCTATTTAGTGAAAATCTGTTTTTTTTAAAGATATAAAAACATGTAAATGATAGATTAGTTTAACAGCGATGGATTTAGGATTTAGGAATAGAGAGCGATATTGGCCATAAAGGATGTTTTGAAAGTCATCGAATTATTTTTGAATGTTTTCTATTGTGAAAATTTTGAGTGTTTATACTCTTTAAATTTCTCACTGAGATACACGATTGAAAAAATGAACGATATATAATACAGATGACCAAAAGCTGAAATTTGCTCTAGTCGCTAGATACTTGTTCTTCCATTTATTCGATCGGAATCATTCTACATAAAGTCTCACGGCAATTTCATGAAATCAAAGACATAGGGAATTCTTTTTCTTTGAATGAATCTATTCGGATTGATTTATTGAGTCATTTATGAATCGATTAATGGAAGTGGCTTCAAAAATCATTCATTTTTTCCTTAGATTTTCACAGATCTTCAAACGGAAATAACATGTTATAGTCATTTATATCTATGAAATATCTCAAAAATCAATACTTGATGTTTCTTTAACACGAACAAAAGAAAAAACAATAGCTGATTAGTAACCTTCAACTGTTGAATCTAATATCTAAACTTTAATTTAGTCTGCAACAAAGGTACGTAGATCCGATGAGGACCAGTTGGTTTAATTATGTCAACTAATTTGATCCGGTCGAATTGCTTTGAAATCTGAACTCATCCTATGATGAATACGAACAGTTTAAGAACTTTTTAATAATTGAAATATGATCAATAATACGTATATGATTTACCTATATAGACAAAATATTTATTACTACAAACATTAGTTTAAATTTTGATATAATTGGAATTCATAAATCTTTTAGTTATCTAAAAATTAATGAGAACAAATCAAAAGAATCTTATGATAAGGTTTTTTTGTAGGGAATTTGACAGCGCATCTTTTAAGATTTTCTATAATTTATCTTTGCTAAGAGATTTACAAAATATTTGATGTTCCAATTATTTTTACTCTAATATTCAATAAATTCGATTAAATATTTATATATATCTGAAAAAATAATAAAATATTTCTATAAGGAAAAACAATATGTATGGATTCTATTTGTTTTTTTTTGTCATATTAATCATCAATTGGTAATAAAAAACCAGTTAAATTATTGATTTTATTTATTGGAATAATTCAGCGACATCTCTATATACTTTCAAGATAGTTTCCTTTGATTTCCATGACATTATGAATAATTTATGGTTCTGCTAAATGTTCTTGTACAAATCAATCAATTTGTTTGTTTTTTTGAGACTTAAAATTAATTCATTCTTTATATTTTTTTTTCTATACTTCACAATCATAATATGACTCAATATGCATTTACTGACAAACGTCAATCATTTCGTCGATCGTTCGCTGATAATATTGATGATGATATATCAAAAACAAAATCAAAATCCTCTCGTATTATTGATAAAAATAATTCATCATCATCACCAGAATCTAATATCGAACCTGGTTCACGTATTGAATTTCTTGAACGAAATCTTCGTTATATTCAGGAACAACAAGAAACAGTACTTATTGATTTACATAATGAAATCAGTCGACTTCAACAAGAAAATAGAGGTGTTAATAAATTTAATTAATTACAAAGAGAAAAAAAAACAAATCTTTACATCTAGATCTTCATTATCGATTGATCAAAACTCAATCATCATCATCAATAGAACAAAAACAAACAAATACAGACCAAATATCTTCTCCTTCGCCAAGTAAATCTATTCATGGTATGAAATAAAAAAAAATACTAATAATAATAATAATAATAATTTCATTGAATGAATTCATATCCTTATTAATTAGAAAATCAAATTCATCTTAAACAATATATTGATAAACTTGAAAAACAATTAATTGAAAGTGAACAAAAAAATAAATATTTAATACAAACAATCGATGAATTAAATAAAACTTTATCATCGAAAGTTGAAGTACCAAATATAAATATTTCCAATAAAGATGATATTCAAATGCCTATACAAACAACTAATAATGAATGTCAACATTTATTTAATATGACACCTGACAAAGAACAACAATATATACATGAAGTAAAATTATAAGATTGAATTACTAATTATATTTTAATCTAAAACAAGATATATAACAGATACTATTTCCCTATATGTGTGTTAAGATCAAGATGCATAGAACTCGAGATCGAAATGCATTAATACTTAGATGCTCACCATTATAGTCGACAAGGAGGTCTCGATAAGACTAGAAAAGCCTAAACGAGTTCGTTCCCAAGGATCTTTGAAGTTGAACAAGGATCGTTTTATTGAATGTTCGACTTAGCTTTATAGAGGTACCTGTAAGAACTACAAACGCCGCTAAAGCTGCGAAAAAAGAATACAGTTGGAAATGAACATCATACGGACACTCATAGTTACTTTGATTTTTAATTGTACAAGGTAAACAAAAGGTCACTGGGCAGTCTTTAATTTCGAATCATTTTTGATAGAATCAAGATAAAAACCTGCGACTTTCACCATTCAAAACAAGGTCTGTTACTACGAAGTTCTATATATTATTCAACAAAATCAGTTAGTGATCTTTAGTAAGATTTTCATAACTCTATGAAAAGGACATAGAAGTTCAATTCAATGAAGCGGCTTCGATTCGTGTACTCACGATTTATACTAACGTCAACAATCGAACCTATTATCTTCTTCCGATAGAGAATTTTAGATGCAACACTAGATAGCGGCAATGGCGAGCGTGATTCATATGTGCACGATTCTCGCGTACCCTTTAGAATTGAACTTCGATGTTATTTTCATAGAGTTACTAGTGTTTTATCGAAGACCACTGACTAATTACCATGGCAACAAGTGCCACTGTTGAATAGTACATGGAATTACGTAGTAACAGAACCTCTTTTGAATGATGAAAGCCGTATCTTTTTATCTGAATCCTATCAAAATTTATTCGGAATTAAAGACTGCTCGGTGACTTTTGGTCCACCCTGTACAAGATATAATAGATCATTCGCGTTACATCGGCTGCATTCTCTAAGTAAATATGTCATATTGAATTCTATCTGTCAATGGTTAAGTTATAATCTTTATTTTAACGTTACTGAGCTAATATAGAAACTTATTAAAGACAAAATTTATAAAGAGAATTCTAAAATAATAACATTAACTCGAAAATGCTGCCGATGAAGCATGAAATGTCCTATGAAAAAATGTTATTCAAGAATGTATTACAAAAAACTACAATGGTATATCGACACTTTAAAATTTTTATTTTTATTATAAACACTTACTCTTGTACTGTTCATATATATATATCTACGTAAGTCTGTTCTAATCATAAACTCTATACTTTATATCAAAAATACGATTTGTAAGCATTTTATTGTTGGTAGATAGGTGTCCATATCCATAGTAAAGGCTATATTCCAGTTGAAAATAAAGAGCATAGTCTAGAACAGTTGTTCATGAGTGTACGCAGTTTTAATAGGTGCTAGCTTTAGATACATACCAACAGGTATGGGTGAGTCAAGCTATTTTTCCCGTTATTTTGTTTTCTGTTAATTTTTAAAAAGAACCTCAACAATAAATTCTTCATTACATGATATCTAGTTCCTAGTTTTTATGTACATAACAAAAATAAGAAAAGTCATACAAAATAAAATGGCACAACTACTCTAGATTGATCATCCAAATAGTAACAGTGAAATCAATTCTTCTCTTTTATACAGTTCCAAACCATAGTAAAAGAATGCAATTTTGTTTTTATAAAAAAAAATCTAAACTTAAGTCTGTTTGCAAACAAACACCCACACCCACACCCATAATACGAATCAAGGTGTTCTTGTAGTCTCAATGTGAATAAATGGTTCTTTCATTGCTAGTTAACAGGTTGGTTCTTGAATTTTGGTCAAAGCATAAAATCTGTTTGATGTTTTGACTTCACTTCGAAATATTTTTTTCTTTATTCAGTAGACACTAAACTGAAAACTATTTTCATTTATTAAGATAGTTAAATTACGATCTATATTAATTGAAATTCTCAATACTGAACAATTAAATATACCATCAAAAATTCTTATTCGTGATTATTTAACATCAACAAATATTAGTGAAAATTCAATGAGTAAAACTACAACAACACCAGTTGATATGTTATATTTTAATGAAAATCAACAACAGAAAACTATTACTTCATCATCAACAGCTGGAAAAACTTCATTATTTCGACCGTTAGTATTTTGTTTGTTTTTCTTTTTCTATCAGTTATAGTAAGAACAACTAATAAAATCAATATATTTTAAATAGTGAATTACCTGTTCGACGTTTAAATATTTCGCCACCACCATCAATTGTTGCACAGAAGTATTGTAATCATTATTCTTATTCTTTTTTGACTATTCTATTATTTTAGATTAAGTGGTCAACATCGTCCAATTGAACAACGTTTAACTTTACCTCCGATTATGTCAGGAAATAATTCAGCATTACGTCAAAGTAAAAATAAAAATATTTTCTATTTGATATAAATCATAGTTATTCTTATATATCTATATAGATCAAACTGATCTAAATAATTTATTTCATAACTCATCAAGTCCAAAACATGATTCTCAAAATCAAAATTTAACCAAATTTAGTGAAACATCAATAGCTCGACGAGAACGAGCTACTCATGAATTACAAAAAAATAGACTAATGAAAAATCTTTATCATTAATCATATGTTTTGTTTTTGTTTTTCATACATGTCATTTTTCGTGATATTAAATTAATTTTATTTAGTCAATACTAAATAATAAGATTTATATTATTTAACTTATCATAGGAATATATTCAATGGAATATTTCTAGCCGTTTTATTATATGTTCAATCATAAAATTTTTATTGCATGTTTAATGTCCAATATTTTTGTTTTGTGAAACACTATTTCAAAGGAGCGTTGAATTATAGGAATAAACATTTGGACATTCTCCTCCCCCCGCAGACACTTTAACAACACTGGAGAAGCAAGGTGAAGAAATATGTCCCAAAATAGATAGAATACAGTAATCACTCTATGATTAATAGCAACAACTACATTGTATTTCACATTTTAATCTCACAGGAATTGCGCTAACAGCTTATCGAGTATTTCTGATAAACATAATACAATCAAGTTCATATTTTGCATGATTGATAGTGTTTATGAATGTAGAACTTTGTTTCTAAAAAATTCTATATTTTACGAATTAATCATTTCTTACGATAAATTAATAAACTTTTTTTTTTTAAATAAGAATTAAGAATTTCAAACAGTGGAAACTTCTATGAAATACGCATGATTTTTATCTATATGCAATATAACGAAGATGAAACATAGTGGACAATTGACATAGAACACATGAACATACCTTATTTTCTATGAAATTAATTTCTAATATTTAAAAAACAATAATTAATGAAAAAAAAGTTTTTTGTCCATGGAAAATCTCTGAGAAGAATTGTAACTCTAAATTTTTGTTAGAACAAATCATATATATCATTCAATGGATTTTCTCTTGTTAATTCTAAATTAGAGTTATGAGAAAATATGAGAATTTCTTATTTGATTCTTTTTATTTTCTTTGAAAAATTGAATTTCTTTTTCTGATGTCTCAAAAAAAATTATGAAAGTCATTGAATATTCCTTTACTTAATATCTACAGATTTTTTCTTCTTAATATTATGACAATAAGAAAACCTAAGACTTTCCAATCGTAAGTTTCCGGTTGTATAATTAGAAAAAAAATATTCTTTTCATGTCAATGGAAGATTTATGTCACATCATCAAATTAATAAGGTTTAATTATCAATAGGTAGATAAGGAAGAGAAAAATAAAAAGAATAATCATATATTGAATTTTACTTCATCATTAATCTATATTTTTTTTTTTTGAAAGTAACTATTCATACGAACTTTTTCAATCAATTATTAACAATGGTAGATTTTGAAGCAATATTTTCTCTTCTTCGAATCATTTTATTTGCAATTCTTACTTTAGTTACTTTTATTTATTCAATTCCAATTATATTTATTCGTCGTTTTCATCGTCGTAATATGATACTTACACTTAATATATGTTCAGTTACTATATGTTGTTCTCTCTATTGGACTATTTTTTATATAATATTGGAGTTCAATCCTTTGATTATATATAAATTTATGTTAGATTCATGTAGATTTGTACTTATTTTTTCAACATTAATAACTCTTCAAGTACCTTTTAGTTTTGTTACAGCTTCAATTAATCGTTTTTGTTCTGTAGTATATTTTAATAAGAATTTATTTAAAACAAAACAATGGGTTTTTATTTGTATTTTATTTCAATGGATATTTGGAATTATTATAACATTACCTGTTGTATTAGGAATTCAGCCGGTAACTTTTTTTGTTTTTTTATATAAAAAAAAACACACATTTCATAATTTTCTATTTGGTTTTTTTTCTATAGTATTGTGTTACTTCACAATGGGTTGAAATATATAGATTAATATTTATTGTCATAGTTCCATCAATTGTTTTTCTTATCATTAATATTCTTATATATGTTACTGTTCGTTCATTATCACATCGTATTCGACCAAGTTCATTTTCGGTAACAGAAAATAATCCTCGAAATATTCGACAAGAAAGAATTAGTCGACGTGATATTCATCTATTTCGACATATGATTATAATGTTTTTAATTTTTGTTGGAGGATGGACTCCATTATATGCACTTTTTGCAATTCAAACACAAGCTTTAGCTAATATAATTCTATCGGAATGTTTTACAATTTGGTGTCAATTAGCTTTTTTATGTGATATTATTGATCTTTATTTGTACAATCATGAAGTGAGAAATTATCTTAAAATAATATTCTGTCGATGATTCTAATAAAAAACAAGATATACAAAATAATTATTTTCATATTCTTCTTTTCATAAATAATAAATATAATTATATAATGAATTAAATTAGAAATATTTTCTTGATTAGCTATGAAAATAATCATTAAAATAATTTTTGCAAAATCAACACAAGCAATGCACTAAGGATTGCAGCATCCCGATTCATTATGATATATTATCTAGAGCAAGCATTCCATATTGAGGACATTTTATTTTTCCTTCCAATTAAGAAACGCCAACTGTTAAAGTAGAATAATTGGCATTTACAGAAAGAGCGAGTAAAAAAGACAACCAGTAGTTCTTTAGAGAAATACAAAAATAAGGATGAAGTAAAAATTTAATTATAGTTTGATTTGTAATCTAGATCATTCTTGTTAGTTGAATTGAATAAATCGATATCACAATAAAAGAGAATACAGTTTCATTTAATAAATATTAAACTAGAAAAAAAAATTAGATTAATATTTTAGTTCAACTTGAATTAATATATGATCGTTGTTCTTTGAAGTAATTTTTCGAATATTCTTTGCACAATGGTTATTAATCATTGATCTAATCATATCTCATATTCATATCAGCTGTTGTTGTTGTTATTATTGCAAGGAAGACATTTATGATTTATTTTATAGACATCGAAATATTTTGTTTTTGTTTTTGAGAAAAAAAAAGTCATTGGAAAATGTCAGCAATGTAAAAAGTTTTGTAGTACGTGTAAATTTTGTTCAAAAATGTTGTGAAGTAAATTTTCATGGATTCAGACGCTTGGGAACCGGTGTTGAAGTTCATTCTTGACTGACAAATTTTGGAATTGTCAGTCTTGATATTCGTCAATATCGGATTTAGAAAGCGTCAAGATTTTTATCCATGGAAAGAGGTGTTCGAGCTCGCATGTTCGATGGATTGTTTTATTCATTGGTTTGTTTCTTAATAGTTATTAGAGTTGCGTGTCTTGCTTTAAGAGAAGCGCAATAGATAGAAAGTACGTATATGTCGTTCTGTATGAGTAATGAAATAATGTTGTAACGAATCAATCTTAATAGTATTTTTTGTACTTAGGTTCGAATGATAGTCTTTGAGATGTAGTTTTTAAGTATGATGTGTTTCAGATTGTTGAAGGTATTGGGATCTCAATGAATTTTACTCAATTTTGTGATTGTTAGACTATTATTGATGGTATTGTTTTTTTGGTTAATTCCAATTTCTATTACTGTTCAATCACAGTTTTGACTGGAACTTACAGTATAATTCATTTTCAATAAATCATCAAATTGATTCAGTTCGATCTAGTGATGTGTATTTAGTGAAGGAAAATACTCTGATGAAATGATATATCGATTGATATCTTAGACAAATGAATAATGTGTTGAAGAAGAGAAAAATTAAAGTTGGGATAGGAATATTATTTTACCTCATATCGATGGTAACTAAAGATGATTATATTCATACATGTACAAACGTTACGCTTCGAGCATAACATATTGAAATCATTCAAATGATCAAGAATACAATAGACAAGTTCTACCAATAATGTAAGAAGAC